AATCAAGTCTTGAATGCACCACATGGAATTATAAAATCAAAGTCAACTCTGGCAAAAATTTTTATGACCAGTCAATAATACCAGTGGGAAGGAGACAAAAATATCTGTGCTTATCCACATCTGCGGTTAATGAAACCTATCTGGATGGATAATTCTGGTCATCTCTAGGCAGGTGAAGCAGATTGATTAAACCTAGCAAGAGGAAACTTTGATTTCAATGGTCTTGTACATGGAACTTTGATTTCGATCAAATACCTGGGGACTAGTAAAATTAATATCTGGCAGGTAAAGGCTCCTTTATGCCAAATCATATTTCAGTTGCCAGCTGAATGTCCTCTCATCATCAATTGTCAGTATCTATTATAGCTATTATTGCTTCTGAAACAGTCATTATAATCAGGCTCCTTTATGCCAAATTATATTGCTCCAACCAACGAGACATTCTATTTATATAGATGTTCTACAAGAAAGATTATAATTGACATGGACATGATATGATATGTGAAACTGAATTTTGAATTGTTCGTGCACATTCCTATATATTGCTGATATTCTATGAAGAACTTCCAAAGTATAGCAATCTTAGCTACATTTCATTCTTTGCACCCAAAATGCTCGATCAAGACTCCTTAGGTGTCTGACATATGTCACCAGAGCACAGGAAATTGTGAATTACTGAGGAATCAATTGGTCAACCATAGATATTATCATGAGGGATGGATTTTTGTTAAGCATTATAAGACTACCTAAAAAGAGTGAGATCAAAATGTAACATAGGAAAAACTTTAAGTTATCAAGAGCTATCTTATAAGAATTACATTGCTTTAATCGTGCATACCAGTTGTGGGTTCATCGGCAAATATGATAGATGGGCTTGCAATCAGTTCACAACCTAATGATAAATGTTTATTTTCACCACCACTGATCCCATGAACTTTGGCATCACCAATAATTGAATCAGCACAGCTGACCTTTTGAAGAATAATAAAAGGAATACCCAGAAAGAAAAACTGAATCAGATAATAATGTTAACAATAATTGACTATAAATGGAGCAAACCATTTTTCCAGTTTGTATTAACCCAAAAGCAAAGGTCATACAATTAGTAATATAGACAGTAGCAATGTAGCTAATAGGCTCCACAGAAGTAACTAGTTTACATATCCTTCAATTATTATGCAATGCCAATAACAGGTAAGAAAACAAAAGTAAACTGTGACTGTTTCCAAACCTCATAAGGTCTTGCCTCTAACATAGAGAAATCAAGTTATCCTTACCAAGCCTAGTTTAAATAAGAGATTGCTCACATATTCATCTCTCTCTTCAAAAGAAGATATCACTGGAAGCTGAAGTTCCGCAGCAAGAGATAACGTTTCTCGTACTGTCAATTGTGAGAAGAAAAGATCCTCCTGCCTCTCATAAGCAATCTACAACAACCAACAAACACTCATAGAAAAGCCAATCACTCCCACAAATAAACTACACAGCAAATGATTTCAAATTTAATAATGTCATTACTTGTAAGCTTTATTTGAACTAGGCTTCCCATTGACCTCCAAAAGACCCGACAAACGTAATCGTGGCGATGCCAAAATTTGACCTGCCAAAACGTTTAACAGCGTAGTTTTTCCTGATCCTGATGGCCCCATTTTTGCGAGCAATCTTCCAGGTTTTGCCTCACCATTCACATTTTTAAGCAGAAATCGGACCTATCATAAAATAAATATTTTTTCCTATTTAAAAGACAATAAAAGTCGTATAATTTTCATTTTCAGTTTCAATTTTAACATAAAAGGCTCAATATATTTTTAGTTTTTCTTGCATGTTCTTGTGTATTTTCTTAGAAACCATACAGAAACGCAATAATAAATAAAAGAACTAAAAAAGAGAGAGACGAAATTGTTACCATTTACTTACTGATTTTGAGTGTTTATCGGAGAGGGAACAGGTGATATTCCTCCTTGTTATAGTGACCGGAAAAACTTTGCCAGCGGAGGGCGGAGCATCATCTCCATTGATGGAGACGCCGTCGTTTTCTTCACGGTTTCATTTTCTGGAAAGTTCGCTGGGCCGAGCCCGGAGAACAAACGGAGCAAGAGAGCGGCGGCCATGTCGGCCAAAATCTGGCCTAAACCGTTTCCCCCAATACCAGACACCACATGGCCCACCTTCTTGGCGCCAAACACCAATTTTTATATAATTTTAAAATTATTTAAAATTTCTTTTTTCTTCTCGTTTGCGTCGCTCTGCTGAAGCAGAAGAAGCAAGAATGAGCTTAATTGACTATGAGCTAAGGAGAAACGATGTTGCCAAAAGAGCCATGACGGAAATCTGATGTCGTTCTCAGGAGATTATGTATTTCAATTGTCACTGCAAGGCGCAAGCTGCGGCGATTTGCGATTGAACGAAATCGCCTCCGGTGGACGACACGTGTCCATTTGATGATAAGGCGATATTTTATTTGGAACAAGAAAAAAATTGCTCTAGTGTTTGGACTTTTGAGTTTTGACCAAAAAAACAACACGCGGCCTGGTACTTTTCTGTTCAAAGAAATGCTATTGATACGAAATAAGGCGTTCATACTCAATTTTATTCTTTAAATTAATTTCATTGATTATCTGAAATAATTTTAAAAATTTTAGTTTAATAACTGAATTAATAAAAATTATAATTTAAATTTAAATTTAAAAATATATAAAACATATCATTTTATTTTATATATTGTTTAAGCTTTTAATTTTTAGATAATTTTATTTAATTTATTTCATATATATAATAAATTAAAATTTTAAAATAAAACTTAATTTAAATATATTTATTATTAATTAATTAAAATTTTAAATTAATAAATTTGATTTGATTAATAATATTAAAATAGTATAAATTGATTTAAATAATTTAATTTAAAATTAATTATATAAATGCTTTAAATGAAATAAATAATACCACTGCTTTTGAAAAAAAAAATAGAAACATTTAATATTGTTGTATCGTTTCGTTTTTTAATAAAATTAGCATTCGACTCTATCGGTTTGTACCAATTGCATTGCATCGGTAATGAATTCAAGAAATTTTTTTAAAAAATTTTCACTTATTTAATTTTTAATTAATTCTTTTTCATTTTATTATTAATTTTATTTTTATAATTTGATTTAAACTTGAAACTCGTTATGCTTTATATGATATGAGACCAATTATAAGATCCTACCAACAAAGCCCATCGAACAAAACTTATTTAAAAAAGAAGAGTAAAATTTATAATTAATTAATATTAAAAAATATATAATTTAATAAATTAAAATTTATAAATATATAAATTTATTAATTAATATAGAAATAAAAATTTCTCTTAATGCAATTAAAATTGGAGAAAGGGAGAGATAGAAAGAGGAGACAAGGAAAATTCCAAATAAAACAACAAAAGATTATTGGTTTTTTTTTTTTTTTAACAAAGAGAAGAAGCAATTTAGTTGTTGAAATATCTAAAGGATAAATAAATATATGAAAATTATCTCTTTCATTATCCATTGAAATTGTAGATTTCAACAATAAAATTAGAAGGTTATTACTTATTCTTTTTGTATAAACAAATATAACAAAAAATACACATAATAGGTAGAACACTCACTTCTTCTAAAATTTTAAATTTTTAAGTGAGAATTTTTTTTTTTTGTATCTATTTTAGTTTGTGATTGTGATAGAGTATTTATTTATTATGTTGGAATTTTTATATCGATAAAACAACTAGAGAAATAACCCATGAATATTTTTTTAAAAAAATTTTCAATTTTGAAAATTGATTATTGAATGATTATTTTTTTACTATAAAAATATATATTTTGTACTATTAATAATGAAAATATTTTGTTACTATATATATTTAGATCAAATTCGTTTTTGCTTGAAAATTCCAACCAAATTCCTATCCATATATGTTTTTATGCCACTAACCAATGGTGTAAACCCTTTGTGTCCCTCAACGACCATGGTTGAAACTTGGGAGGCTAAACCAAAGAAGTTGAACCACTTCAACAAAAAAACTTTGGTTTTAACGAGCAACTTCTTGAAAGGAAGAGGAATTAGCTGAGATTCAATTCAAGTAGTATTAAGGATGATCCATACCAACACTATCCTTCAGCCTCGTAACTTATTAGTGACAATTTAGATACTTGGCTTATCGGACCTATCCCCAAAGGAAAAACACTTCCTATTATGTTCGCTTTAATAAATAGATGTATATTTGTCCACGGGCAACGGGGCAAGCTACTTGTCCGGATTGCATGCTTGACCCAACTCAGGTTCTTGGGTAGGAGTTTTTGAACTTATGTCTAATTTGGTCTGATTCAAAATATTAAATTATTATTAATATTGTAATATATATTTTAAAAAATTTAAATTTTGTGAGTTCGACGAATTGTATCAAATTAAGTTTGGATAAAGCTTTAAAAGGTTAACTTAATTGGATCTGACCAAATTCAATTCTAACCATAAACATTTCTAAATAAAAGCAAATACTATCCGAATTAGTTGCTGATCCACCTTTTTATCAAAAGATGTTTGCAGACACCCCCTTAAGAAGAAAATATTTTTTTAATATTCTCTAGAAGTAAAAATTAAAAAAATTAAAAAATATATTTTTTATCTATAAAATTAATAAATTTATTAAAAATTTTATATATATTATAAATAAATATCTTAAAAATATAAAAATCCGATTGCCCCAAATTGAAAATTCCTCCAAAATTGACATTTCTAAAACCTATAAGAACTTCAAATAAAAACGCTCACCTAATCATATCTACCCTACAAAGAGTAAGACATTAAGCCGTTTTGGTTTTTCCCAAACCAACCATGCACTACTATTTATTTCCATTTTTCCTTATTTAAATCTACAAAACCAAATTAGTAGGACGTTTCCATGAAATCACGACACGTATATGCTTAACACCTGCATGCATGATGCAAGACCCAACATTTTTTTTCCGCTTTAAAATGGAGAAAATTCTCCATTTCCAGTTTTGACCATTGATTTTTCTTTTTCCTCTTTCTGGAATTAGCAAATTTAAATTCTTACATGTGAAGCCAACAAGCTCGCAGCACTTGAGATCAAATGTTTTCCCACCTCTGCTCCCTAGAGCGTGGCGATCACTCATGGATCTCATCCCATCTCATGTGACCGAAACTCTGGCCTATGGGATCGTGAATTACGAGGTGTTTCCTTAACGGTAGCGCGTTAGTCGACGCGCAAGTCATGGTCGTGAATATTAAGGTAGATAGAATTATTTTGTGTTTTTGACACACGCAAAGCAAATGTTTGTTTACTCCCCAACTTTTCTTGGATCAAATTATAATTAATCAAATCAGATTGTAATATAGAAAGCAAAGATTGGAAAATCCAAAGAAGCAAAACTTCATTCTCCTTCTTCCACCCAAGCCAAATCTAACCTGAAACAAGAAAGGGAATAAAAACCCTAAACCTAGTTAACTATTCAACTCCAAACATTTAATTTCACCGTCAAAACAAACAAAGAAACTGAACATTTTACACATACAACAAAAAAAAAAGAAGCTTTAATCATTTTCATTAACTACACAGAGAGGGAGGGAAGAGAGAGATAGAATTCAGCAAAAACAAAAAACAAAACAAAGCTTTACTGTGCTGATCTAGATTTTATCATCAATGGTGTTCAGTCTTCTGAAACCAAAGATCCTCAAATACCCATTTCCTGAAACATCTTCAAATTCCAAATTCAACCCAAATTTCCTTCTTTGATCATCAATAAACCCATATGCTCAAAATCTTTGAATCAAATTTATCAAAAAGAGTTACGATTTTTAAAGAGCTTAAAACATTATTGTTATGGGAGCTGAAAAGAAATGGCTTTTCACTCTCTTTTCGGCAACATTTCTCTCCATTCTCCTCCTCTTGCTCTACTCAATCTCAGCTTTCAGCTCCCCTAGGCCTTTCCCTTCACTAGTCCAACATGGCCTTCATTATCCACCAGCTTTTGGGTACTATATATTTGGTGGAAGAGGTGATAAAGATCGGATCTTTAGGCTTCTGCTTGCTGTCTATCATCCCAGGAATCGATATTTGTTGCAACTTGGAGCTGATGCTTCTGATGAGGAAAGGTATAGGTTGGCCGTGGCTTTGAAATCTGTACCTGCTATTAGGAGTTTTGGAAATGTGGATGTCATAGGGAAGCCTGATCGGTTTTCTTATATGGGTTCTACGCATATTGCTGCCACGTTGCATGCTGCTGCTATTTTGATGAAGGTTGATCGTGGCTGGGATTGGTTTATTGCTTTGAGTGCTTTGGATTATCCCTTGGTTACTCAAGACGGTAAGCGGTTTTGTTTTGTTGATTTTTTGTTTTTGGATTTATGTTGTTTTCTTTTGTATGAAGTAGCTAGGAGAATTGAGGTTTTGATTGAAAAGTTTGATTTTTGGATATACAAGTTCTTGATTTAGTGGAAATTACTTGAAAATTGGATGAATTTGCATTGGTTCAGTATAGTATATGCGCTCTGCGGTTTAATAAGAAATGAGACTTAAGATTTTCTGACTAAGGTTTTCTTAATGATCAATTGGATTGTTTAAAGATTCTGTATTGGATTAGATTCATTCTGCCAAAATTTGGTGCAACATTTTCAAAAATCTTTCCTAAGTCGGATAGGATTTGTGAACATTGTACATGATTCAAGGAAAATTCTTGATTTTGATCATGCTTCTGACGAGTTTATCGTACCTTTTACATTATCATAATTCCAAGAAATTTTGTGCTATTTCTTCTTGTCAAGATATTAATTTTCTTAAATGTAGGTTTTACTGCCGACTAAAGAATCTAGATGGAAGCATTGGTTAGCACTTGGCTATAACTAGACATGTACATTTTGAGGCAGTTTTAATAATGCAGAAATGAAACTGACAACAATTTTGGTGATGCATCTGTCAATCAGACGAGAACTGTTGTTAGCCTAGTTTATTTTAAGACATAATCTGGTCCTGAGAATAGATTAGATCTAAAAACATCTAGTAAACGTGCTGCCTCTATGAAACCAAGATTCTCTTCAAACAGTTATCTGTTGTAAATGAAGTCACCTGTGTATAAATCATACATAAATGGCACTGAGGGTATCAAATTGAGAGACTGGATACAGGAAAGTATGTCATGGAGGATGACTGACATGAGGTTTATGTGATGATTCATGAGGTTTTAATCCTACACTTTCCTTTTTGGGTCTAGATCTGTAGAGTTTTGCTCAAACTTTTAGTTTAGTGAAGGGAAGCAACTTTTGAACCGAATTTCTGCCTGTTAAAATATTAGTTACATTGATAGAACAGTGGTTAGCTTATTTTATGGCTGGTCCAGCTCCCCCAATGTTTCAATTTGTAGGCCTGCTTTTGTGATGGGCAGACATAGTTGTTGGTATGTCAGTTTTGTCATTATTGGTTGTTTTACATATGAAGCTATATCCTTAAGCTAATACACTTTCGCGGTTAGACACAGAGCTGTTTTCCTCATACCATTACAACCAGAAACCACAGAAAAAGAATATTATATAGTTTGCTTTTTTTGGCTGGAAATAAGTGATGTTTTTCTTCTACTGAAACCTTTCTAGCCATAGATTGTATATGTTTTGGTTAGTGGCCTACTTAAGGGTAAAAGAAAAGTTAATGTTTTCTTAAAGTAAACTAAATATTATCTTTACAGAAGGAAATAAACAAAGGCAGAATAATGATAATGATTTTACTGTGAGGTGCTATGCATCTGAAGCTTCTGCAGCTGTCTGATTATGACCAATTATTAAAAGGTTGGTTGGTTGTTAAGTATAACAAGGTTTAGTAGGACTTAGGTTAGAAGGAAAGAAAGGGGCTTACTATCCTTTGACCTTTGTTACTGTGGTGCGAAGAAATCTCATAATGAAGATATATTAATTTGTAGAGCTGAAAGTGGTATGAGTTTCTGATGTTCTTTACTTATTTTATTATGCTTGGTTGTAGAGTCTGGACAAAGTAATACTTGTGCAAATTGGAACTAGACAACTCAGGTCTATGAATACAGTTATTTATGATGCCACTTTTGGCTTTGGGTTTAATTTTTCCAAATACTCAATAATCATCATGGTTGAAACCAATATTTGAATTTTGAGTTAAACTTCTGAAATAATTTCTGTTTATTGTTCCTTCATTATTGATAGGATATATTGAAAAATCTGAATCAGTTTTCTGCTACAGAAAAGCTTTAGACAGGATGAAATGGAAAATCCTAAAATTAGTTCCCAATGCTACTAGGCCATGAAGCCCTACCATTATTTGTTTTCAAAACCTTAAGGATATTTTTGAAAGGAGGGAAGGTTCTAACCAATCAATCTCAGATGCCTCATTTTTTCCTGCATTTTTCTGTGAGATTACAATAGCGAGAACTCCTTAAGTTTGCCCTATGCCTCTTTTTTCCTCATCACAATTCTCTATATTTTACCTGTTTTTCTTTTGTCTTACCATACTTTTGTTCTTGATTGTATTAACTTTTTTTTTTGTTTCATCTCAGATTTGTCCCATGTGTTCTCCTCAGTTAGGAGGGACCTCAATTTCCTTGATCATACTAGTGACCTTGGGTGGAAAGAGTAGGCAAACCCTTTTCATGAAATGTATAGATCCTTCTGCAAGTTGTAATTGAATCTAAATCATATTGGTTCACTTTTGATGCAGAGGTCAAAGGATCCAGCCTATTGTGGTTGACCCAGGGCTTTACCTAGCTAGGAGGACCCAAATTTTTCATGCTACAGAGAAACGACCAATGCCAGATGCTTTTAAAGTATTTACAGGCAAAGTCTACAATCCATTTTACTGTCCATTACCGTTCATGAGTTAAAAATTTATTTATGACTTATTTTCTCTGGAGATGCTGCACATTTACATTTTGGTATTGAATTGCAGGTTCCCCATGGGTTGTCTTAAGCAGATCCTTTCTGGAATTTTGCCTTTTTGGGTGGGATAATCTACCTCGGACCCTTCTGATGTATTTCAACAATGTTATGTTATCTGAAGAAAGTTATTTCCATTCTGTCATTTGCAATTCACCTGAGTTCAAGAACACTACTGTAAACAGTGATTTAAGATATATGATCTGGGACAGTCCTCCAAAGATGGAACCACACTTTCTCAACATTTCTGATTATGATCAAATGGCTCAAAGTGGATCAGCATTTGCAAGACAGTTTCAAAAAGATGATCCTGTGTTGGACATGGTTGATGAAAAGATCCTCAAGCGTGGGCAAAACCGAGTTGCCCCTGGGGCATGGTGCACTGGTCGCAAGAGTTGGTGGATGGATCCTTGCTCACAATGGCGTGATGTAAATGTCTTGAAACCCGGACCTCAGGCAAAGAAGTTTGAGGAAACTATGACAAATCTTCTTGATGACTGGAATTCACAGTCTAATCAGTGCACATGAGGGAGGTGTGAACTGAAAGGTGAATATTTCAGAGACTTAGTGCACTGTCATTGCATCTGAATTTCATGAAAGCTTCAAAAGAACATCAGATGTGATGCATTCTTTGGTCTGTATACCTATTTTTTTGGGGTTCCTCTTATCACAGGCTAGAATTTTTTTATACGAAATGCTAGAATTGAGGGAGGAAACAAGTGAATTCACTTGAGATTTTGCTCTGCGTTGTTGGCTTCAGGGTTAGTATTTAATGGTCAAGCCACCTAGAAGTCTTCAATGAGTAAGAGGACCTCCCTCTCGAGCTGCCATTTGCATGCTGTTGTATGTTCTATGCACCTTTCATTTGGCACGTTGATGTTGGAAGACAAATTCATTCTTTAAAATCTCTTAATTGTATTGCTGTCCTAATTCTCCCTGTCTCTCTCTCTCTTGTGCATTCCAGCAAGGGGTCGGTTTTTTGTGGCAAGAAATTGTGAACTAAGAAAACGATCTGAGAAACTTTTGCTCATCTATGCGTATCCCTTGACCTTTTACACGCATCATGAATCCTGAGAGAAATTTCTTTCTTTTCCGTATTTAAGGAAATTGTTAAAGAGTTCGCAACATATACGCGGGCTAAAAGAAGTCACTGGCGTGGATTATACAACCCTTGTTGAAACTGCATGAAATGCTCTTTTTAGTCGAATCTTTAACAGCTAGCAAGCAGGAACAAAACTGGCCGTCTATGTGCATATTTATCTTCTGCTGCAACACCTGCCTTGAACTTGGAGGCATTATCAATATTCCTGCTCTTCGCATAAAATCACTTCCCACGCACTAACAGAAATCCATCAAGCATCAAAATTTCAATCTCAACTTCATTCCAGGCCACAAAACCTCATTTGGGTATCCACCAACTCTTCATCTTATCATCTACAGATCGATCCACGAGGATTTAACACCAAAAGAATTTTCTTTTGAGCCCGTGAAAAGAACCCTGCAGAACCCAAATTCGAACTAGACAATTCCAAAATTTGCACGCTCCTCTCTGGCCACTCTGATTCTCACGTCGATAAATTGCTTGAGGACGCTTCAATTGAAGTGTCCCCTTCACCCTTTATAGATGTTTTGAAGAGGCTAAGCAATGCGGGTATCATTGCAATGTCATTTTTTACATTTACAGAGAAGCAAAAAGGGTTTAAATATAATACAGAAAGCTACAAAGCTTTGATTGAAGCATTGGGTAAGATTAAGCAGTTCAAATTGATATCGGATTTCGTGAATTACATTATGAGGAGTAGAAAATTGTTAAACATAGATACTTTTGCATTGATTTCACGGCAGTATACAAGAGCCCGGAAGGTTGAAGAGGCTATAGAGGCTTTTGAGATGATGGAGGAGTTTGGTTTCAAGCTTGGAACATCGGATTTCAATCGATTGATTGATATTTTGACCAAGTCTAGAAATGTTGAGAAAGCAAACAAAATCTTTGATAAAATGAAAATGAGAAGGTTTGTTCCTGATATTAAGTCTTATACGATTTTGTTGGAAGGATGGGGAAAAGAACACTACTTATTGAGGTTAGAGGAGGTTTATCAAGAGATGAAAGATGAAGGTAACTAATGGTATTTTGATCACTGCATATTTTAAGGCAAAGAAGCATAATGGAGCGATTGAGTCGTTTCACGAGGTGGAGGCAAAGAATTCTAAGCCTAGTCCTCATGTTTTTTGTACTTTGATTAATGGATTGGGTTTAGAGAAGAGGTTAAGTGAAGCTCTTCAGTTTTTTGAACGTTCCAAGAATTGTGGTTTTACTCCTGAGGCACCAATTTATAATTCTTGTAGGAGCTTATTGTTGCTCAAAGCGAATGGATGATGCATTTCGGATGATAAATGAAATGAGAAAAACTTGGTTGGTCCAAATTCAAGAACTTGGGATATAATTCTTCATCTCCCGATAAAGGCTGGAAGGACAAAAGAGGCTTACTTGGTTTTCCAGAAAATGTCCAGTGAACCAGGCTGTGAGCCAACTGTGAGTACTTATGAAATTATAGTAAGGATGCTTTGCAATGAGGAGCAAGAGGATATGGCAATACAGGTTTGGGCTCAGATGAAGGCCAAGGGAGTGCTTCCAGGAATGCATATGTTCTTTGATTTGATTAACAGCTTGTGTTACAAGAACTTGCTGGATGACGCTTGCAAGTATTTTTAGGAAATGTTGGATGCAGGCATTTGACCTGCAGCCAGATTGGTAATCTGAAACAAGCTCTACTTGATGAGAGGAAGAAGGATACAGCTTTAAATTTGGCTCGGAAGATTGATAAGCTGAGGAAAATTCCATTAGTTGGTGGAGGCCAGAAGTAAGAGAAAAAGTGGGCTGTATGATGGTGCTCTTCAAGTTCATATGAGCTCCGCCACGGCGGCACTGTCTTTTCCTAGTAATAGGATCTGGGCCACTATTTGGTATCAGATAGACGTAATAAGAATCAAGATGTGTGACTTTGTGGCAATTCTTTTTTATCTTTACCTTAGATATTTACATGTTAAAGATTTTGCAGTTTCAGAACTATAGAGTTGGATTCAATTAGATAATGGACTGTTGAAACTGGGAAGACAGAGCGTCCAAGGCTGAGCAGTAAGTATTCTCTTATATATGCCACTATATCCCTGTCGCCTCTTTGATATTGGATTCTTCGAATGGGTTGAGTGAGATCTGGATCTTTTTAGGGGACTATATCCACTATCCTTTATTTTCTTCCTTGCCACTTTACATGATATCCCCTCACTATTTTCCTTTAGACATTTCATTGCATCTTTCTATAAGTCTATTTATGGACTTTTAAGAACGAAAAGTATTGCTATTGTTTAACCCTATTCATCATTGAACTAATTACTCAGTGGAATCTAATATGACTAGACTATTTCTTGTGTGCAATGTTAGAAGCGTTTATATTCCCCTGTTTATTTGGCTGACTTATGAATTATAGGTTAATCCAATATTTTACCACCTCTAGGGTTCAAGAATGGACAAAGGGGAGAAAGGGGTCGGGTTGCCTTTATCTCATCTTTCTCTTTGTCAATCAAGTGAGTGACTTTCTCTTCCTGCCAATCATCCTCTGTCTTTTGAACAACATAAATTGCCAAATCTATAGCTTATGTCAATGGTCATCACCTTGTCTGGTCTGACATCGTCCCTGTATATTGTATAATTGGCAAATCTATATGATTTTGTTGGAAGGGATAAGGAGCTCTGAAAATGGTTCTTAATCGGCAGAGTATGGATTCTGATTTTTGCTTTGCTATGCATATTGGGTGTTAATGCAATATACAAATATGCGATGCTTTCTGCAAATAAGTAGTTAAACCTTGTTTGCTTTTCAGATCCCTATATTCCCATAATGCTGAGATGTGAGATGTAAGATGCAGCAAGTCTGAAGTTGTATATCTGTGCAGATTGGCTAGCCAAGTAACGATCTTTCTTTTGGATTAACTACCTTTAACTCTCCTTCGATGCTTTATTTGCTCCAAGATGATGTAGTTGGGGTTTGCCAAGCCTCGTCTTTTTGGCATGTATTGTCTTTTGCGCACCCTATGTTTCAAAAAAGATGGGGGTTTGTGACATTCCCACTTCTGAATTCTCTTTTATATTTTTCTAGATTGAATTAGAATGAGAGAACAAATGTGGTAGTACTTGATGTTACATTTGGATGTTTAGAATCAATGTAGTAGTTTCACAAGTAACTTGAATGTTTTTTTTTTACATCAAATCTGTTTCTTGGTTGAGTATTCTTAATGATAAATACTTGTATTTTTATTCAAAGAGTTAAATTTAAATCTTTTTTTTTTCAAATAAAAAAAAAATAAAATAAAACAAAAAAAAAATGAGAAGCTAACAAGCCTCTCATGTTATGGTTTTAGAGAAAAGTTATGAATCTCAAATCGATTTCGTACTAAAATTGATCATGGGATATAAGAGTTTACATCACTTTCAATATGAAATGCACGTTTTGTAGAATAAAATCATAATATCTCATAAATCGATGTGAATCGTGATAATTAAGTTAATCTAAAACGTCGAATAAATTTAGGGTCTTGAAGCCAATTCTGGAGATACTAGCGATGGAATAAAGTGTACTAGAATCAATTCTAAAGATACTAGCGATGACAACCTTAGAAGCCGAATGAGTCAATGTCTAAGTCCTCGAGTCAATTCTAAAGATACTAACAATAGGATGAAATGTACTAGAATTGATCATGAGATATAAAAATTTATATCACTTTCAATTTTTGAAATCATTTTTATGACACAACCTTGAAATCAAGGGATGAAAAATGAATAATATCTTACAAATTAATGTGAATCATAATAATTAACCTATCCGTAACACGCGCATAACCAAAATAAAATAAAAAACCCAAACTTCCCTCTTTTAAGTACCAGGGTATTCTTGTCACTTCAACAAATCACTCAACAACCATCCGTAACAAAAGTGGCAAATCTTTCCCGCCAAGTACCTTTCTCTCTAGCCAACAAAAATCACCCTCCATTACAGTTACAAAACCCTCCCTTCACCATAACCAAGAGCAAAGAACCCTGGCAAAACCCCACCTTGGAAGCTCCACCATGGCAATCCAACTTCTCCTTTCTCTCATTTTGTCTTCTCTCTCTTTCTCCTCCTCTGCCTCCTCCAATATCATCTCTAACGCCGCCCAAGTCCTCTCCAATGTCAGCATGGCATCCAGGTCCCTCACCCTCCAGTTCGGTCCCCAAATTCTGATCCCACAAACTCAAAACATCACCATATTCTCTCCATCTGATACAATATTCGCAAAGTCCGGTCAACCCTCTGTTTCTCTTCTTCGTTTCCACTTCTCTCCTCAATTTCTTCCTCTCTCATTCCTCAATTCCCTCCCCTTCGGTTCCAAAATCATGACTTTCTCTCGTAGCAACTCCCTGATCGTAAACTCTTCACCGTCTGATGATCAGATTTCACTAAATGGAGGCAAGATTGGTAAGAAACCCGTATACAATGATGGGTCTTTGGTAGTCTATAAAATTGACAAGTTTTTGATCCAAGCTTCAACGTTTCCGAGCATGGATGTGTAGGAACGCATACGTTTCGTAATAGTAATTCATTAGATCAAGCCAGCGAAGCTTTAAGGTCAAAAGGGTACTTTGCCATGGCATCTTTTCTTGACTCCCAGTTGAAGAGCCCAAGATAATATGACGCTCACAATCTTTGCTCCCTCTGGTGAAATGGTAAAGCCATTTATGGGTAAATGGAACGTCTATCCGTCAATCCTTTTAAGGCTTATCGTGCCTTGTAAGATTCAAGGAAGGGATCTAGATAATTGGGACAAGATGATGGTGCTAGAGACTTATTTGGACGGTTTCAACATCATTGTCAAAAAATCTGGTGCCAATGTTATGATCAACGGGGTCAAGGTTATGGTCCGAGACCTGTTTCAAAGTGACTGGCTCGTTGTTCATGGCCTTAGTGGGGGACTTGCTAGACTGGCTGCAGGAATTAGAGCGGCTGAGAACTCCCAAGTTCAACAAGATTCAGCTAGCCAATTGTTGCATGTTTCTCTTCAAGTTTTTGGTAAATCATGGTTACCAAAGTTTTTTCATTTGCCATCTTCATATTTGTTTTCCTTTTTTCACTTTTCATTTGATGGGGTCCAAGCGTCCTGTGATGAGAATATTTGTAAGCAATCAAGAATCCATTTCGTCGTCTACAAATCTTTTGGATGCAAATTTGCTCTCATTAAGTTGGAAAATATTATTGCAAGGACTATTGGCAAGTTTGTCGATCACAAATTTGGGCTTTTGTCGTCGACTTTGACAGTTTTTTGGCTTTGAAAAAATACCATTTGAGCCCATGGTGAATAACTGATAACTTCATTCAAAATGTCTGCTACTAAATGGAGAGTAATTGGTCTGTAACTTTCATTATTTTGTGAAAGATCGGTCAGCTACCAACATTAGTGTT